CTTTAACTCTTGCCATCACAATATTCTTCAGGGTTGTTGATCCTAGAACCCAAGAGGACCTATCAGAAAACCCTTTTCATTACCAAAATCCTTGTACAAAGAATGTCTTTACTGTTGATTTCCCCACATATCCCATGTGACTCTTAGACCCTGTTTTTCATAACTACATTACATTGTCCATTTTATACAATGACTATTAAAGATATAGGATTTGTCTGAGGATAAATTATTGGTGAAAATAGTGAGGTGTTGAAGATGTCTGGTGTTTACCAAGACACATGTGCCTATTTGTGAGGATGTTGACAGAAACCATACTTCTAAGAATCTGGCTTGCTAAGTGTCCAACTGAGTGCCCAGGAGGAGACAAATACTGAGTTGATTATTTAGTAAATATATTTGCTTATCATAGCAAGGCACAGGATGAAATGTCTACATACCTAAAAGAAATAAAGGAAGGGGGAAGGAGAGAAAAAACTCAGACAGACTGATTGAGGTATCTACAGATACGGAGATAGGGAGGGAGGGAGGAGAAGAGAGGGGAAGAAAGGAAAGGAGAAAAGATGAAAGGAGGGGAGGAGAGGAGAGGGCTAGTCAACACTTTGAGGTGGGGTATTCTCTGAATATTCTATCTCCGGGCTTCAGAGCTCTGCTCCCTCCATCTGTGTGTGTACAAATGAGTTCTTTCAAATGCATTTCGAAGAGTATCTCACTGCATTTGAAGCACTCAGTCATGGGTGGTAGCACAGAAGTGAAGAAGGTGATGTGATTAAGCAAAAAGAGAGCAATGGAAGGCCCGGAATGGAGGAAGACTCTCAGAAGGAGGGCAGAAGACTTCTCAGAGGAAAAGAGGGTCCCACCAGGTTGATGACAGCGCCACCTTTCATTTTCAAAACGTCTCACTGATAACTAATTAGTAATGCGTCTGTTTAAGATTGTAATAAACACTAAAGATAGAAGCCAAACCCAAGCTCAAGAAGCCCATGGGTGGCTCCACAGCCTAGAGTTAATGCTTAGCATTGAGGCATCCTTGATAGGAACTAAAATAATAGGTATCCTTTTCCAGGACTCACATTGGTCTGCATTTTACAGCTGCCATTGATGTAGCTATCCCTTATTTTTTTCTCCCAATAAATTCTTGAGGATAGTTGATTATATCCCCCCATTGCTTGGAAAAATGTGTATGGGACATAGTTGGATTTGGCTTAGTGTCTGACTCTACATAAGGGTCTGTGACTGGACTGACATCCAACTGATTAGTCTACCAAAGCACGGGTCCTATGTAATATCTCTAAAACTGAGACCTGATGACACTACAAACCTCAGCTTTGTGTTGTCTATAACACACATCTGTCCATACCAAAATATTAAATATTTGGAAAAAACCTAGAAACTAAACAGAAAAAAAACAGACCAAGCATGGGGTAGAGGAGAGTTGTCACCCACATATCAAGAGTTCTCTGTATACCCTAGCTCTAGACATCCTTCTCTGTGTTTTAGGCAAGTTACTAATATCAGAGCTTAGTGCTTCGACTTCAGATAAGAAATCACATTTTCCTTCTTTTGCGTGATGCTGAGGATTGAACCTAAGGATGTATGCACACCAGGCAAGCACTCCACCATTGAACCACAACCCCATCCCAGCAACTGTAGTCCTAGAGAGGTTTTAAGGGGCCAATACATCTAGGTCATATCCATCCTCCACTCCCTCCCTCCAGCTCACCCTGTCTCTCCACAACATACCTCCCACTTCTGTCCCATCCAACATCCTCTCTTTTTATTTGGTAGCCCACTATGTTCAATTAGTGCTGCCCATATGTTCTGTTTGGGGTCATCCATGGGGCATGGGCAACCTGAAAATGGAAATCCCCACAGCCACACAAGAAAAGTGACTCTTCCTCCCTTCGCTTCCGTCAACTGCCTTTAGGTCCTCAGCTAGGGGTGGAATATTGGGAGGCGCTCCCATCTCCTTGCTGGAATTTTTAACTCTCTTGGACACATAAAATGCAGTTATTGTACCAGGTGCTGTGCTGGGATGTGGAGGTTGGAAGGCAAACTGGGCTTGCTCTGTGATCTCTGTGATGGGCTTGGAAAGTGGAACAATTTCTAGTAAGGAACTTGGACTCTGTGAACTACATGAGGAGCCATCTAGATTCTACTAAAAAGAAAGGATCAGCTCTGTGCAGATATAGGGTCTGTCTGAGGATAAATTACTGGTGAAAACAGTGAGGTGTTGAATGTGTCTGGTGTTTTCCAAGACACATGTGCCTGTGTGTGAGGATGTTGACTGAAATCATACTTCTAAGAACCTGGCTTGGTAAGTGTCCAACTGAGTGTAAATGATGAGACAAATACTGAGTTGATTATTTAGTAAATACATTTGCTTATCATAGCAAGGCATAGAATGAAATGTCTATATACTTAAGAGAAATAAAGGAAAGGGGAAGGAGAGAAAGAAGGACTCAGACAGACAGACAGACTGAGATAGCTACAGAAACAGGGATAAGGAGGGAGGGAGGAGAATGAGGGGAAGAAAGGAAAGAGGAGGGAAGAAGAGGAGAGGGAGGGGAGGAAAGGAGAAGAGAGGAGAGGAAAAGAGAAGAGAGGAAAAGAGAGGGGAGAATGAGCCAGTTCATCTTCACAGGTAAAAATTGGAGCAAGGGCTGTCAGTAATCTGTCGTCTAGGGCTTTGGGGACCAGCTCTGGAGGCTGGAATTTTGCCACATTGCCTTCAGTTGGTCTGGAAGAGAATGACGAGTTGAATCCGTTCCATTTTCCTATGGTGGGGTCACACGACGGTGCGCACGGCGGAGATTGTTCTGGGAGAAGCTTGAATGCTTCGTCCGTGAGAAATGCTTGAAGAACTGGTGACATGACTCAAAAAGGGACTGACCTCTGAGTCTGAGAACCAGGGTTAGATTCCAGGGTCCGCGTGGTAGGAGAGAACTGCCTCTTGCAGATTGTCCTCTGGCTTCCCCACATGAGCCGTGGTGCGTGTGCCTGTATGCACATGTAAGTCAATGCACAGGCTCTCTGGGAGGCAGTTTTCCTCATCCTCAAACCATTCCCATTGCTGTTGCTTTGTTAACATGCCCTTCTCAATCTTTTTCTGTGGTAGATGAGGGCCTCTCACCTCCTGCATTAGACTCTTAATCATTTATGAATGAGGAGCCTTTAATATCAAGATAATGTGGTTCATTAGCTCTATAATAGCTCTAAATTCTTCTGAAATCCCAGTCTTTATATCTTTTCATTGGCTCTACATCCTGTAAGAAGTCAGCTCCTAACATATGAGAAGAATGTTGCCTTGAATTGCTTAGTAAATGTATTTGCTTATAATGACAAGATATAAAAGAATATTCCCATATTTAAAAGAAATAAAAGAGAGATGGGGAAATGAGAGGAAGAGAAGAAAAAGAGTAGGAGGAGTGGAGGAGGGGGAGGAGGAGGAAAAAGAATTATATAGTAGAAGAAGAAGAAGAAGAAGAAGAAGAAGAAGAAGAAGAAGAAGAAGAAGAAGAAGAAGACAACTGCTAGGGTATCTAACTCATCACAGGAACTTAATTCCACCAAGTGTAATCTATGCATGATACTCTAAAGCAAGAAGGACTCTCAAATTGTATAATTTTCTGGATCTCTAGACTATGTCTTGGACATTGGAGACTGTTCTGCTCTTGGCTTTCAGGATGGGTAATGTCATCCGATGGAATTAACACAGGAATGGAGTTGAAATGAGCTACAGCAGCTTCCTGGCTGGGTCATCTTGGGCTGTGATGTACCTCCCTGAGTCCCTACACTTGCCATGTGTGACAGAGGCAAAGACTATAACTATGCCATTTAAAACTAAGTCAGGGGTGCTAGAAACATGGCTCAGCAGTTAAAAGCACTGGTTGCTCTTCCAGAGGACTCTGGTTCAAGTCCCAGTAACCACATGGCAGCTCACAAACATCTGTAGCTCCAGTTCCAGGGGATTCGATGCCCGCTATGGCCTCTGTGGACACTGCATGCATGTGATACATAGACATGCATGCGGGTACTGGTCACACGGATAAAATAAAACAAAAAACTTGAAAAAACAAAGAATAACTAAGTCGTGCCAGAACTTAATAGTGCTGAATAAAATAGCAAAGTCATCATGACATGTTTCTGACATAAAGTAAAAGATCTTAGAGGTTTTTGTGATCTGGATGGGTACCCCAGATTGCATCCATAATCCCCTGTGTATCTCCCAGCTTCCTCCTAAACAGCAGTATGTGAATGATAAGGAAGTATGATCATCTACATTGGGTGCAACCAATAGAATCTCCAACCTCCAACCAATTGCAACACTATACAAAATGTAAGTAAATATTGTATATTTGACCACACTGATTGGGCCTATACAATGGAATCTCCAAACTTCTGTTAAATGAGATGCCAACTTTCTTAGAATTCCAACAATATTATTCAGAACAAAACTTTTTATCTCTGGACATAATCGTTTTGATACCTACAGCATAATGCAATTCTGTAAAATAAAAATCACTTTAAGAAAAAAGGAGCTCTGTTTCAGATGAGATCAGGCCCATTCAGGATAGTATGGCTGTAGATTAAACCCAGTTTTAGAACATCAGAGATAGCAGTTAATGCTTCTGGATTTTAAAAAATATTCCTAAATTGGTGTGTAGAGGAACAACCTGGGAATAATACTTTTTAAAAAACTGAAATGAAAATAATTATAAAATATTTAGCATAACAAATGTCAATCATTTCCTTCACTTAATTTCACAGGAAGCAAAATTTATCCTCTGAATGTTCAGATGGTCACATTCTTTGTATACATTGAAATCACCAGCTGCAGCATTCATCTCAAGAAGATGAAGAATCTTTCTCTTAGCCAGTTTCGACAGATGTTGATATGACTAAGCGTTAGAGGCTCAAATCGTTGTGAACAGCCTTCTAATTACGTTTACTATGATGCTTTCTGAAGGACACATGTTAACAAATGGTTTGTCTCTCTACAGATGGAGAGGTCCCTGGAGTTGGCCAACATGACTAGAGTTCAGCAGTTCATCTTGCTGGGATTGTCCACTAGGCTGGACATAAGAGATGCCCTATTTGCTGTCTTCCTGACTCTCTACCTGCTGACGCTCCTGGAGAACACACTCATCATCTACCTCATCTGCAGTCACAGTGAGCTCCACAAGCCCATGTACTTCTTCCTGGGCAACCTCAGCTGCCTGGAGATATGCTATGTGTCAGTCACCATGCCCACCTTACTCGTGGGGCTGTGGACGGGACCCTACCATATTTCCTTTACACTCTGCATGACCCAGCTCTTCTTCTTTATAGTCCTCATCTGCACAGAGTGCACGCTCCTGGCCTCCATGGCTTATGACCGCTATGTGGCCATCTGCCGCCCACTGCACTACCCACTGCTCATGAGGCCCCAAGTATGCCTGGGCTTAGCCTTGTCTTCATGGCTTGGTGGGCTGGTGGTCTCAGTGGCCAAAACAACATGCATCGCCAGTCTGTCTTACTGTGGTCCGAATGTCCTCAACCAATTTTTCTGTGATGTCTCCCCTCTGCTCAACTTGTCCTGCACCCACGTGGCCCTCACAGAGCTGGTAGACTTCATCTCGGCCATCGTCATCTTCTGCGGAACACTCCTGGTGTCCTTGGCCTCCTATTCAGCCATTGGGATGGCCGTCCTCCGGATGCCATCAGCTGCTGCCCGACGCAAGGCCTTCTCCACCTGCGCCTCCCACCTGGTAGTGGTGGGCATCTTCTACTCAGCGGCTCTCTTCATCTATTGCCGCCCCAGCCGCATCAAGTCCATGGACCTCAACAAGGTGCTGTCTGTCATCTACACGGTGGTCACACCTCTCTGCAACCCTATCATCTACTGTCTGAGAAATAAGGAGGTCCACGCTGTACTACAAAAGACCTTCCACTGGCCTTGACCATGGTCTTCCAACTCTGGACCCCTCTCTCTCTGGATCAAACATTCCTTGAGGTCTGGGGATATAACTCAGTTGTAGACCTCTATCATAGCATGCACAGGCCCTGGATTTGATCCCCAACCCATTGAAAAAAGTACAAATATTTCTTGGCTCCAAAACTCCATAAACCTTTAACTACAAAGAAAAATAGAATAAAACATTTTCCATTTAATATGTGATAGTCACACACCAAGCAATAACTAAATCTGAAATACCTAAGGAGAAATCAGCAAATTCCAACAGAAAATAAGACAGATATTATGTGTTCATGGCTGGTGATCCATTTCTTAAGTCATAACCCAGGGAATGTAGCTTGAGCACCCATCATTTTATTCCTAGAAGAGTGAGACATTTTAACTGAATGCAGGTAACTAGATGTGCAGAATCCTTGTTGCTTTAACATTTGCAGTTTAGAAGCAACCAAATGTCTAATGATGGGTGAATTAAGCAAATTAATTGTGAGATAACCAACATTCTTTTAAATAAAAAGACAAACGATTTTTGTGTGTGTGTTATGGTGGGCATCAATGTTAAATTTAAAAAAAATCAAATAACGGGGGAAAACTATAAATCAAATAAGGGGCTGGCGAGATGGCTCAGTGGTTAAGAGTGCTTGCTGCTTTTGCTGAGGACCTGAGTTCAGTTCTCAGCAACCACACATAAAGCAGCTCACGACAGCCTATAACTATCACTCTGGGGGAATCTGTCACTTTCTTCTGGCCTCCATAGGTACCTGCACTCATGTGCATATACACACAGAAATATATAAGTACGTAATAATAAAGTTTTAAAAACCGTATTAGCGTATATTAATTGTACAAAATGGCTTCATTACAGCATTTTCTTGCATGTATATAATGTACGTGAGCGTGTTCACCCCTCATGACCTTCCCTTGTCTTCCTCCCACTCCATGATGCTCTCTTTCCTCTTTTCAATAAACTTTGATTTCATGTCTTTTATATTAGTTGGCCTGTATTAATTGTGCACATAGTTACTTTTATGGCAGGAATACTTAAGACTTACCCCCTTGTCTGAACTATTACAGTTTCTCTTGTGTCTTTAGCACCAACCACGTTTCCTTAAACAGGTTATACCCCTGTAGATAAACAGGTTGTATATTCCATGGTGGCATGCTTCTCTAGACTAAAGATCAGTCACCTGAAAGATGGACCAGTTTCTTTGCACACTTACATACTTCCCCTCCAAGCATAGTCTTTACATTGGGTGAGACCCACGTGGGTCTGGAGAGATGGCTCAGAAATTGAGAGCACAAACGGCTTATGCCGAGGACCCAACTTCAGCTGCCAGTACCTAGGTTAGGTGGCTCACAACTGCCTGTTACTCCAGCTCCAGTGCATTTTTGTGGCCACTTCAGGCATCTGCATTCACATGCATATGCCCCCCACCCCTCAGATAACCACACCTACACATGTTTTTAAATAACTCCAATCGAGAGTGGTCTTCAGACCTTTCTACTTCAATCTCTAAAATGTATCAGTAAAATGCTTTCTTTCCTACCACTCCTCCAAATCCTCAGGGGCCAGGGAAGTCTCTGAGGTCCAGAGCTTCATTCTAAGGCTGTGCCCCTGCCTCCTCATTTAGGTGAAGGCAGTACCCCCAGCACTTCAGAGACTCCAAAGCCACAAAGAGAATTGGAGGTATGGTTGGCAGGATTGTTACAGGACCAGGAGCAGCTCCTCCCGAGATGCACTGAAGGGCTGTTCTCCTGTTTCCTGGCATGTGCTCTGGGCAGTGGCTGAATATCAGAGGCTCCTGATCCCACCTGTGAGGAAGGATCGGTACCTGCTACCTTCAACCGCCAGGTGAGATGCTCCAGCGTTGTCCTTTGGGGGGTGAAAGCAAGGAGCCTCGGTGAACACCTCTGGCACACAGATACTGACTGGTTTTGGAGACGTAAAGAAATTTAAGCATCAGAAGAATGGATGAAGAGGTGGTAACAATAATTACATCTAGAAGTTAAATATTAGTAACAACACATACCCCATCTAAGTGACTTCCTAATGACCAGTTAGGGTGGGAGAGACTTCCTGTCTGACTTCAAAAATGTTAACTGTGATGTTACACCACCCCAAAGAGGGCTGGCATGAAGTCCTTACTATTGAATGGATTAAGCTCATTCTAGGGAAAACTGGGCACTCCTACATCCCAGAATAGACCAACAAGATTAAGTACATTGACCAACTTTCCTAGAGTAATAGCTCTTCCAATGCTTGTAGAATCAAGTGCAGCTGTACGTCATTATGCATGTAGCTCCTGATGCATTGTATTTTTGGGTACATCCTTAGTTCTCTATTTTTTATTGAGTTTGTTCTTTGACAATTTTTACAAGTTTAAAGTGGATTCTGATTAGTGTAACAGCCCTATCCTCTCCAATGTCCCTCTTATCCCTATTAACCCTCTTCTCCCTATAATTCCCTTTCAAACATTCATGTTGTTTTAAAAACTATTCACTGGAACCAGTTGGGCATCTCAGTAGGTACGAAACTGAAGACAATGATGATCCCTTTTCCAGAACTCATCAGCAGCCAGTATTTCAGCTAATGACTCTGCTTCTTAAATGCCAATGGAATGAAGTGGAGCTATAGGCCATTGAAGACTTCTATTTTGTTTAGAACAGATATATTCCTTATAACTCAGACACCCAAGTGGTCTCCACATTACATTCCCTCTTTATCAATAGTGGAAAAAAACAATTCAAGAATCTCAGTGGAGGGGAAAGACCACTGGAGGAGACCACATCACAAGCTCCTGAGAATGCAAACAATTTCCCTCACCCAGTAATCAACCTGGGAAGTTTTTGTTTGTTTGTCTCTACATTTTTAACTATAAAAATTTAGTGTGTGTGTGTGTGTGTGTGTGTCTGTCTGTCTGTCTGTCTGTCTGTCTGTCCATCTCTGTGTCTGTGTCTAGGCATGGGGTAAGCTCATGTGCAACACTTGCAAAGGCCAGAAGAGGGAGTCAGGTCACTTGGAGCTAGAGTCACATGTGTTTGTGAGCTGTCTGACATGGGTGCTAGGAACTGAACTCAGATCCTCTCCAAAAACAGGAAGCGCTCTTAACCTCTAAGCCATCTCTTTAGCTTCTAGTATCTTATTAAAAAACATTGAGGCATAAAATGCTCAAGGAAGTAAATAGAAAGCATCATGGCCCCAACTCCTCTAGATAGTAGAATCATTTCTCCTTCATCACTGTATCTCCTTACTATATAGAGAAACTGTTGGAAGAAAGCACAGGGCCCACACATGTATTTTCAGTTGAATCAGTTTTTATGTGTTCTAGCTCTTGGATTCAGGGTGCTGTGGTGGCCCTTTGGGGGTGCACTTACAGTCTTTCTAATGGTCATATAGGGAAATATAAGTACTCCTGGGTCAGCAATCAGATTATGTAGCCACAAGAAGAATCCATGCAAGAGGAGAGTGTGGAGTCGGTACTAAAAGGTCAGAGGTAGATTGTGACGGGAGTGGAGTGTAAGGAATCTCAGTGGAGGGGAAAGACCACTGGAGGAGACCACATCACAAGCTCCTGAGAATGCAAACAATTTCTCTCACCCAGTAATCAACCTGGGAAGTTTTTGTTTGTTTGTTTGCTTGCTTGCTTGTTTTTGTTTTGGGGTGTGTGTGTGTGTGTGTGTGTGTGTGTGTGTGTGTGTGTGTGTGTGTGTAGATAAGTTTTGTGGAAGTCTGAATTCATGTAGGGTGTCTTCTACTATTTCCCTCCACCTTGAGTTTTGAGACAGATTCTCTAGCGAAACCTGGGGATGAGCAACTGGCTAATCTGACTGGGGAGCTCCAGGTATCCATCCTCTATGTTCCTCTCCCAGGGCTAGGGATACAGGTTCACGCCACCACACCCAGTTTTGACACAGGTGATGGGGCCCAAACTCAGGTCCTCGTGCATGTACAGCAGGCACTTTACAGACTAGCGTATCTCCGCAGCACTGAGTGACCTTTTTAACTACTGAAGACAATTTCTACTCCAGGAACCAGAAGCTCACTGCATCAGGACTCTTGTTTAAGATTACCACTAGAATCCAAACTCAGTTTCTTGAGAATCTCATTTTCATTAAGAAATTTTTTTAAAGGGCTTCTTTAGACCAGGCTAGTGCTCAGTCGGAGAAGGGGCCTCTATTGGAACAAAAGATAGATCCATTCAACCACAGTGGACACTGGCGTGAACTTCGATAAAAATATGAACAGCAGCTACCAATCGTGTGGCTATGCTTTGTAATATAATCTGAATAATTGCATAAGGAAAAGGAAAATGGTACCCATCGTACTGGTTTGAAAATTGTTGAAAGATTGTGGGAAAATCCAAAGTCATATCCTTTATCATGGAATGCAGATGGACTTTGGACCATTTGGTTCAAAGGCAAAGGAAAAATGATTGTATAATAGCCAGGAGATACTGTCTGGAATGGGAACTTTAGTGCCTGAAAACCGTGGACCGCTGGATTCACATCAGAACCTCAACTTCATACTCTGTATGAAGTCATGTACCCAGCTCTTCTATATCTCTAGGACTCAGTTAACTCATGACTTTTATGCTTGGCCTAGAACCTTAAGATCAAATGTTCCCCAATGTTTCCAAATCTGGATCCTTGAGAAACTGCCTCTCTGTAATAAGAATAAAGATAGTAACAAGCCCTGCATGTCCAGCATTCCTCACAATTCCTGTCCCTCAGACTCCCAAGAGGATCTGTTTCAAACACCTTTTCTTGGCTATTGTGAATAGAGCAGCAATGAACTTGGATGAGCAAATATCTCTGTAGTAGGAGGTACAGTCTTTGTGAGAATTCCAGAGATTAGTGTGGCTGTGTCTTATGATAGAGCTATTTTTCTCTTTTGAGGAACCTCCATATTGATTTCCATAGTAGCTGCATACTTTACACACTCGCCAAGAGCGAATCAATGTTTCCCTCTCCTCACTGCCATGACAGCATTTGTTGTACAACTTTTTAAAAAATCTTAACCATTCTGACTGGGGTAAGATGAAATCTTAAAGTAGTTTAGTTTGCATTTCCCTGATCACCGAGGACGTTGAAACTTTAAAAAATATTTCTAGGCCGTTTGTATTTCTTCTTTTGAGAACGCTATTCGTGTCTAAAGTCTATTTTTATTTTTAAAATTTGGACTAGTCCCCTGAGAACTTCGTAGGCTGTTTTCATCATATTCACCCTTCCCCAACTCCTCCCGGATCTACTCTGGCTTCCCTACCCACCCGATTTTGTGTCCCCTTTACTCTCCTCTTCTGTATTTACACCAATTAAGTCTCATTTGTTTTGCCCATGCATTCTTGTATGTGTGGCCTTCGACTGGAGCAAGGCCAACTTACCAGTACCTACGCTCTTAACAAAAACTGAGACACCCCCTCCTCAGAAGCCATCAGTTGCCTACAGCTCCTCTCCTGTGGGTGAGACTTCATGCCCAACCCTCCTCTTCTCATTGGGAATTTGCCCAGCTTGAGCTTACACCGCTCTCAAGCATGCTGTCACAACTCCTGTAAGTTCACACATGCGGCTGCCCCACTGT